GCGTGACTTGCCTAGTGACCTTTGGGCCACGGATAGGAAGCTGTCACTGATATTCAGACCTAGCATGTATCTTCTACAGCATTAAACTAAAAGATGGGCTTAACTCAGTGTCCTTAGGAAATTAAAGGGAAGCTTGTTTAAGATTATGAACTGCATATGCCGCAGGGCAAGGGCTGGGAAACAAATTACTCTCCAGGTCCTGTTACTAGAGGGCCTTTCCTGCGGAGGGTGTATTTCCATGCCACTGGTGCTGAGAGAGCTGATTTTCTGATAGATCCACAAACAGGCGCCTCCACTGGAAGACATTGCAGACGACTGCAGTCCAGGCATGAGAGAGCTGATAGAAGCTGCCCTGGAGAGGAACCCCAACCACCGCCCGAGAGCAGCAGACCTACTAAAACATGAAGCCCTGAACCCCCCCAGAGAGGACCAGCCACGTTGTCAGAGTCTGGACTCTGCCCTCTTTGAGCGCAAGAGGCTGCAGAGTAGGAAGGAGCTGGAACTTCCGGAGAACATTGCCGGTAGGGATACCCTGCTGTGTGCATGCCCTTTCTTTCCCTTCTTTTTCTGTCCTCATCAAACCTCTGATGTATTTCATAGTTGATAAAAGCACTTGGAGAAAAAGCAAGTTATTTCTTGAGTACCATACATTGTTTGAGAAATTTGGGGAAGAATATTAACAAGAGCATTTAAAAAGAAAAAAAAAAGATTGGCTAACTTACCACCAAATTATAACAGATTTTCAGTGCAAATTTAGGGAATATAGTCATTAGAAATTGCCTCTGACTTGCTTTGTTAAAACTTGCTTTATTGCAACATTTGGCTGCAAAAACAAATTGAGCGTGATAGTTTTGCTGTTGGTAAAGCATGGAGTTTTGCTTAATTCACTTATGGTAAACCGCTCCAGTCCTTGGCTGGAAACATCATGGCACTGCCCTGCACAGATAAAAGACTGAGTTTGAAGTCGACTTGCATTTCCATCTCCCTCTGCTTAAAATCTCTTTGCTGGCTGTGAACCTTTCCCATTTAAGAAAGTTGCATGCATTCCAGGAGCATTGACTATGTGTGGAGAGGGGTTTCCATTTTTTTAAAACTATCCGTGGCATTCTTAATCCATTTAGGTCCAAACCTGGATGTCAAGCCTGGAACACTTGTTTGCATTTTTCTGCTGCTTCTCTGGCTTTTCTGTATTTAAAGAGAACCATCTGGGCTCTTGGAAAATATGTCAGGATTTCTAATTAATTTCTTGTCTTCATGGACTCCTGTTTGAACTCTTGGTCTGTATGTCACATTACACGAACTTGCCCATAGTATTCAAAGACCAAGCTTTAGAGCTTCAACACTGTTTCATTAGGCCCTGAAAGATTTCTTTGCAGGCAGAACAGATATTTATTATTTGACACATTCTCTCATCCTCATTTTTTATTTTTTCTGTCTTTCCCTTTTCAGATGCTTCATGTACCGGAAGCACTGAGGAATCCGAGATGCTCAAGAGACAGCGTTCTCTCTACATAGACCTCGGAGCCCTGGCTGGCTATTTCAACCTTGTTCGGGGTCCCCCGACACTTGAATATGGCTGAACAATGGTGCGTTTGCTCTAAACTGGGACAGCATTTATCTCCTGGAAGTTGGTTCTGCTGACTCTACCTGGTGGCTCTGTATAGTGAATTATGCCATTTATTAGGGGACAGTGTGGCTCCGATGACTCATGAATGTGACTCTATTTAATTTGTGAAGCTACTCTGGTGTAGACCAGGTCTCAAGGTTCTCATTTCTCAGTTGGTGTGACTCTAAGGAAAGAAGTCGAGAGTTCAGAGAAGGATCATTTCTGCTGACTGATTCCATTCACTGTGTACTTTGCTCAAAATTTTAAAAATACCAATCACAAGGATACTATATTAGCCAAAATTACTATTCTTGGTTCTTATTTAAGTATAGGATCTTCATTTAACTCAGAATAGTTGTTTTGTGTATA